TGGCTGCCACATCCCCCTGCGTGCCAGGCCCTGCGCATCGGCGGCGTAACTCGGGTGCAACCAGCACTGGCCCTGTGGCTTCTGCACAGGGAACGGTTACTGGTTCAGTGGGCTCCAGCCTTTTCCATTCACGTGCTGATGAATCACTTGACAAAAATGCAGCCCAATTCTGGGCGGATTTGTTCTGAACAGTGCGGCTTGGTGGAGGGGACGGCCCCGCTGCGCTTTCCCCGCCAAGACCCCGCGGTGCAGCCAAGCTGCTCCGCGCCCGCCAGGAACCGGGAGGGCGGCCACGGGGACGGTGCAGGGAGCCCTGAGGAGAGCCTGGCTGAGATCCCGGGACGGGAAGGCTGGGCAAGGGATGGAGGAAAGCCCTGGGTGCGTGGAGACCAGTAGTCAGACCTCCCCAAACGTGAATGCCCTCGTTGGCCATGTCACACAGCAGTCCTGCTGTCAGCCTGGGCAGCCACCAGCCAAGGAGCCCAGACGCTCCGTGAACTTAAGCCGAGGCCCTCCTGGCTCCTGGGGTGCATGGCAAGCATGGCATGCCATTAGCACTGGATGACCAAGTCTAACCAGGGAAATGTTGGAAACACTCCATCCCCAGGTAGGATGAGCAAGAAGGCACTCCATGCCCACTCCTGGCAGAGTGAGAACCCCACTAGGGAATCTCCTGTGCTGGTCACCAGGGCTGCCACCACAGCCTTGTAGTGAGGACTACAGACCCTCTAGGGGCAAACAGACCCTATGAGGCAGCAGGTCCCCTCGCTGTCCTCTGCCACCAGCATCAGTCGAACAGCCGTGGCAGGTGCCACAGTGCTACGATGAAGGGTCTCACACTGGAGCCCACTCCCCGTGGCTGAGTGATGGGCACACAGTCAGCCTGGATGGACCAGGGCCATGGTGCAGCTCCAGAAGCAAAGCTGGGGACGCACAGAGTCACCCAGTGCCACAAACCCACCAGGATGTCTTTCTGGGCTTGCCAGCAGTGGGGTTTGTCCTCCCTGGCTCCATGTGAGGCTGCCCCAGCTCAGGGCACTGCTTTGCCTGCCTGTGCCCCACAGACAAATACAATGACCCTTGTCCCCAGGATCCCCTTCCTGGTCAGAGATGTGCTGAACAGCCACCTCTTCCTCTGCCATCCAACCCCAAACCCCACCAAGCCACCTTGCCCATGCCCACCTGCAGCTGCCAGGGAAAGCAGTGGTGCCCTTGGACTGTGGAAGCTGCTGCCAGGCTGGACGCCCAGGGAACAAAGCTCTCTTCTCCAGGGCTGTTGGCAGTGGTGGAGCAGAGGGGTGCAGCTGCCAGTGCCAGCACTGCCCACTGCCTGCCCAGCACCACCAGCCTGGGCACCTGTTCCCACGGTGAGGGCAGCCCTGGGGTCACTCCGGCCCCACTTGAGGCTGGCAGAGCTGAGGAGCTGGCAAACCACCTCGAGAGGGACTCCTGCACCCCTGCCATGCACATGGGCAACAACCACCCCCAGGTGCCTGCTGCACCCCAGCAGCCACAGGGGCAGCTGAGTGGGTGCCCCTGCCCTGGCACAGCAGTTTGGAGATGCTGAGGCTGGAGGGATGCAGGGCTGAGCAGGGCAGCTCTGCAATGGGGAGGCAGCAGAGGCCATGGG